ATGGGAGACAGACATGGATTTGCCAAATTCCTAGTGGAGCTTACAGTGGATAGTGATTGTCCTGATCATGTACTTCTGTGGCCAGATGATAATTCGTCTATCCGTATTGGGGTCACTTACTGCAATTTACCCTCAGTATGTCAGATTTGTCATCTATTTGGGATCACTGGATCATGTGCAGCACATCAAGGTAAGAAATGGGTGACAAAACCAGTTCAGACAGAGTAGGTAGTTAGAATCAGGGACAGGCTGATGGAGTTGAGGAAGTGTGTCAGGAAGCAATTGTTGATATTCAAGCTGCAAATGAGAAGGGTAAGGAGATAGTAGTAGATGATGATGATGACCCCCAATTGACGGCCATATTTACTAGTCCAATAACGATGGGGGGAGGCCAGATTGCTCCACAGAACCTAGAAAAGTCATTTCAGGATGTGGCTACTTCTTCTTCGCCTAAATTACCCTCTGAGGATGAATTTTAGAGAGTTGTAAATGGGGCTAGACCTCGGATCTGGCTCTCTCAGGATAGTTCAAAGGGCATTCAGGTTTCTAATTCATCTTTCAGTGTACTACGAAAGCTTGGTGATAGAGAAGCAAGCAAGGTTCAAGATGCTCCAAAGAAAAAGGAAGTTAAGAAGGAAATGAAGAAGGGTGGGGGGAAGCCCCCAACTTCGAAATGATAGTTTTATTCTGGAATGTAAGGGGGTTTAATAAAACTCCAAACAGAGGGACTTGTTGCAAGTCCTACGTAGGAATAAGTTAGATGTAGTTGCAGTTCTTGAGACTAGAGTACAGGATAGTAAAGCCGAGGAGATGGTGGAAGAGGTGTTTTCTGGATGGGAGAAATGTCTCAATTGTTTTGATTCAAATTTGGGTCGTGTCTGGCTTTTCTGGGATCCCACAATTAAGATTCAGATCCTCAAACCAAGGAAGAACTTCATACACTGCTTGGTAGAGGATTTAAACAGGGATAGCTTCTTTCTGACTGTTGTCTACGCTTCAAATGATGAGGTGGAGAGGCAGAGCACTTACAAGGAAATTGCACAATTAAAAGTTGTTGGTCATCCTTGGATAGTTGGGGGTAACTTTAATACAGTTAGAGTTCCTCATGAGACTTCTAATCAGCGATCTTCTACTCAAAGCATGAATGAGTTGGTGGATTATAGAACTACCGGTCTGCAATTCACTTGGACTAACAGGCAGGCTCATCATCCCATTGCCAGGCGGTTAGACCGATGGTTGGTTAATCTGGATTGGATAGGAAACTTTAAGGATTGTGCTATGAAGGCTCTTCCTTCACAATTTTCTGATCATTGTGGAATACAAGTATGTACAGTTGCATCAGTGAAGTCATTACCTAATCCTTTCCGTTGTTTTGAGTTTTGGGCGGACCATCCACGGTTCCCGGATATAGTGGCAGAAGCATGGGCACTGAGGTTTTAGGTTCACCCTTGCAAATTCTTCAGGGTAAACTGTCCAAAGTTAAACAGGCTCTCAAGAAATTTAATAAAGAAGTCTATGGTGGCCTGCAGGATAAAGTAAAAGAGGCTAAGGTCGAACTACTGAAGGTTCAAACCAGAGCTTACTCGGATCCTACCTCAGAGCACTTTGAGGCTGTTAAACTTGCAAAAGATCACTATGATCATGTCTCTTTAGCTTATGAAAGTTTTTGTTGACAGAAATCTAGGGTATCTTGGTTAACAGTGGGAGATCAGAGCTCACATTTCTTTCATCAGGCTGTAAGGATCCGCAACTCCAAAAGGGCTATCAGGAAGCTGGTGAAGGAGTCAGAAGAGGAAATTTTTCAATCTGACCAGATTGTTGAGGAAGCTATTGGGTGTTATAAAAAGTTACTGGGGGAGGCAAATCTAGAGATTAACTCTGGGAAGGCGGAGGTAGCTTAATTGGTTCGTCATCACATTCCAGCTTCTAACTGTGAGAATCTTGTCAGAGACATCACAGCAGAGGAGATTAGGAGTGTGATATTCAACATGAATCCCCAGAAAGCACCAGGGCCGGATGGGTTTTCTGCTAGTTTCTACAAGAAGGCAAGGCCAATTATTGGAGATGATGTGATCAGAGGGGCTATCTATTTCTTTCAAACAGGTAATCTACCTAGTGGAGTGAATGCTACTACTGTTTCATTGATTCCCAAAGTTTTGAATGCTAACACTTTGAAGAATTTTAGACCCATCTCGTGTGTAAACCTTTTATATAAAATAGTGGCTAAAATTCTTGCTAGGAGGATTACTGAGGTTATGCCTCTGATTATCAATAACACTCAATCAGCATTTGTTAAGGGGAGAAGCATAATGGATAATATATTGCTGGCTCAGGAGTTGGTTAGTGGGTATAACAGGGTCAGTTATGCCTTTCTTCTCCGGTATGAGACCTAGAACCTGGGTTAGGTATTGTGAGGATTGGTTTAGCGGGACTCCTATGGCTGACCATGAAAAGGTTGCCATGGAAAAGGCCAATCTCGGTCTTAGTGCCTGGTTTTGGTTGTTGTCTTCTAGGCGACCAGTGGTAGTGTGGAGCGAACTGGCTGAAGCAGTATGCGCCCATTTTTTTTTATCTCGATGAATTTGTAGAGTATGATAGTGCTACTCTTGCTAAGCCAGAATTAGAAATGGAATAAGTTGATGTGTATGCTGCGTTTGATGATTTCTATCATGTTGTGAATATTGGTGAGGATTGTGATTGCCTATACCCTGATACAGCTTTCAATTCTTCACTGGTTCTGCCAATTTCTTCTGCGTCTTTGTATTCTTTGAACAACCTGAATAGGTTGGATTCTTGTGTGGGTGGCCAAGATTCGGTTTTTACTAGGAAGAATCACTCACTACCTGCTGTAGTTGTTCAGGAGACCATATTCAATGTGTCCAATTTCAAGCTTGGAGTTATGTCCTGCTAAGGAAGCTTTGGAGTTCGAATGCAACAATTTGTTTCAGCTCGCTTGGTATTCTTAGGTCTCTGTTAGTCCTGGTCATTATGTAGTGTGTGAGGATTCTTTTGGCAGCGTTCCACTTCAGGGAAGAGGTAGTGATCCTGACTATTGGGAAACATACAAATATGTTTCTTTGATTGGAACTCTACACAAAGTTATTAGGTTATTTGATCATGGTGGAACTTGGTTACTGTGTAATTCATTGTGGTTGGATCAACTCACAAGTTATATGTCTCATTTGGTTTTGTGGTGGGTGACAACAACTGGTTTGCTATTGTATCCACGGGCAGGGGTGATTGTCCCAATTTCAAAGGGCCATATAAGGATGATGGGAGGAAGACATTGAATATTACAACCCTTGGATGGCTTAGAGCTGCCAAGGATGTTGCTTTCATGGATTGACCGCTTACTATTGCAAATGATCATAATGGAACTATGGTGGCTTCACCATCCCTCTTAGTGTTGGCTGAAGATGGTAAAGATTTAAGTGCAGCGGCCAATAAGAACCTGGAAGCTCACAAAGCTGCTTCTCTGCTTGGAATTGGACACTGTTATTAGGTTGTTTGACCCAGGAGGAATGAGGATATTGAGTGATTTCGTTGTTGTTGGATTAACTCAAGAGCTTCATCGTCTTGTCTGCAAGGTGTTGGCTTCTTAGTTGTATGGGGGGTGTCTTGTCTCCACTTCAAAGAACCATACAAGGAGACTCAGGATGTAATGTTGGGAATTGTTTGGTGTGGAATTTCAACATGGCTGGGTGTTTTGGGGTTGTGATGTAGCTGTGATGGTAGTTGGTGAGCTTATGTTCTTGTTGTGCTTGTATAGGCTTTTGTAGTCTTGTAGGTTGCAGCTTTCCTCCCCTATGGGTCATCACTAATTCCTTCCTGTTATTGTTTTCAGCTTGAGGACAAGCTGGTTCTCAAGGGGTAGGGATTGTGGTGATTAGGATCAAACTGTAAACAAGAATTAGTTTGGGGATCATTAGGTAATCGTGTTGTCCTATAAAGTGGGATTTTGTTGTAATTGCTAGGATATCGAATTACAGAACAAGAAATTTGGTTCCTTCTTTCTTTCCCTCTTCTTCTGCTTCTTCCTCCTCTCTGGTACTGCTTCCCTTCTTCCTCCTGTTCTTCTTCCCCAATCTATCCTTCTCTTCTCCTCTAATTCTTCTGTTCTCCAATTACGAGTTCAATTCCAATTCCAATTCCATTATGTGTAAACTTGCCGGGAAGATCCAGAGTGTTACATTCAATGTGAGGGAGAGAGGGAAAGGGTCGTTGTTTTTCAGGACAGGAGTGAGAAGATTCCCCTATAGGGAGGGAAGGAAAGAGATAGGGAGAAATGGATGGAGTGGTGGAGGTACACTGGGTTGTGATGGTGGTGGGAAGAATAAAAGGGATTGAAGAATGGAAATTGATGGTGGTGAGGGTGAAAAATGGAGGCGGCAGCAGAAAAGGTAGCGTGGGGTGGCCTGGTGGGAGAGAATTAGGATTTTTATTATTTTTATATGTATATTAATGGTAAAAGTGAGAGGATTAGGTTTTTATTATTTATATATTGATTAATGATAAATTACTATAAGTTATTTGAAATTAAGTTATAAATCAGTTATCAAACTTTGCACTTATTACCTTACTAGATTAGTGTCTGCCTGTTGGACGGATATATTTATTCAATGATATATTTAACAATTGTCGAAACAAATATAAAATTGTATTTGATATGATAAAAGAATTCAAATAATTTTATTCTAGAAACAAACAAAAAAGAACATGCATTATAGAGTTTTGATTAAAAACTTATATCCTAACCGATTCATCCACGTAAGGATGAAAGTGAAAAACTAAACCTAAACCAAAGAACTAACTTATAATTAAAAAATTATCAAAACAAACTGAAACTTGGATCTTCACCATCAATGTTCTATTTCTCCTTTACGCTTGCAAATTTGTTTCCTTCTTGCAAATTTTTTTAATGGTTGATCTATTCTCTTCAACTTTTACTTCATAGGAAAACGGAGGATGCGAGCATGTTGGCATTCCTCAATCGCAGCGCCAAAGACTTCAGCGGACCGAAGAGATGCAATCTACAAATTAGCTTCGGTTCAAAGCTCTTGCGCCTCTATCAAGTATGTGGTAAAATCTCGGTCTCCTTGGTCTAACTTGGCCAATGCGAATTGAATCTCAAATTGCCTTGCAGTATTAGATGTCTAGTATGTGATTGAGAGTTTCTTTCACATGCCATGTGCAGTCGGAAGCAAGCGAAGGCCCAAACAAATCTTTGGATGTACCAAACCCAGTAGCCAAGATTGAACTTTGGCATCATTTTGATTCTAGCGATTAATCTGTTCTTCTACAGCTGGAGCCACCGGTCGCGGTCTAGAACCATCAAGGATGCATAGAAGCCCTCTCCCTTCAACAAAGACACAAAACTAGAACTCCCATAGTCCGAAGTTCTTCGAATTCAGCCGAATCGAAATCCTATCAGACACTGTGGATGAAAACTCTAATACTATGTTTGCTGACATGAACGAATTTAATGTGGTATCCCTGGAATGTCAGGACTAATCCACGTAAGACTTTGTACTCTCCAAGAACAATCTCACTATCTTTCTTAGCATCCGGCGGAGGACAGTAGGGCAAAATATATAACTCCCAGCAACCCTAGCAGAACAACAAGGCTCTTGTGCATGGGGTAGTGCATGGGCTAAAGAAATGGGCCAATGACATAATGGGGCACCTATTTACAAATGGGTTGTGAGCTGTAAACAAACACCTATCACTAACAATCTTGTCATTGCCCATTGGAGAAGAGGTTAGGGTTGTTCCTACCATAGAATGGCAAATAAAGCCCTGTCTTTGTCTTTATTAGACTTTTGATCGTTTGATTTTTTAACCTGTCTGATGTTGTAGTCGGGCTGGTGACTCTTGTACATGTTGCGTATTTCTTTGGTCTTTGTTTCTATCATGACATTTCTCGATTAAAAGTAAAAAAAGCATCACACACGTCTTGCAAGTTATTCAAACACGACCTTCCGCCCTTTATTGCATCAGTCACTAACATGCTAAAATTTACAATTGACAAGGGCTACAAAATTTACTAACCAAAGGGGGAAAACAAATTAGAATAATAATGTAATACCAAGAAATAGGCAAATAGAGCATTGTGAAGAGAATTAGGCACAGGCGGGAGAATCAAAATTAGGAAACACTATGAATGAAATGGATAATGAGCTTATATATAGTGGAGAACTCAGACGGGAACGGATGGGTTGGAGATTTGGGATGCCTTCCTTCTCTGTGAGTTGTAACTGGATACCATTTAGAAGCATGGTTTTGCTTTGAAGGTCCCCATCTTTGGGACTCATATGGTACTCTTCTCGGAACAATGACCCGTCTGTCACTTCACTTCCTATCCACGAAACCGATCTCTTGAGGCTGTTAACAAATGAACTGGCACCATCACTTGTTTGCTGCAGATTCTGCTTCAAGTTGGACCTGCTTCAAGTTGGACCTGCTTCGTGCCTTGACTATGAAGTCGGTGTTGTTGCTCATGTTGATTAGCAATAAGGTAATGCCTGCCTGCATGTTAATTCCAAACATAAGTGTCAATGATACAGAGCATTTACAAGAGAAATAGGAACCCTTAGTTTAGAGTGAGTAGAACACTTACTCTCCCTTTGGAGCAGTGAGCATAATAGCGTAGATAAGGTGACGCCGTAGTGGTCACACCCAGGACAGTTTTCCCCATCAGTCGATGCCAGAGAAGGGCACTATCAGATACCAAACATCAAACAATAACACAAGGGAGTGGTTAGGCCTCCTTCCCAAAACTTAAAAGAATTTACAATGAAACTGAAGAATTTTCAGCACCCTTGCCTGTAGTAATCAGGATTCGGGACGAATGTTGTAGTGTTGAGCAGACTATAGTGTCCACCTACTAGGGTCTGCCTGCAGTAGACTTTCGTATTGTATGCAGCTGCCATGCCAAGCTGATCCAAGTACCTGAATATAAGGACAAATTGAGGATACAAGAAACGAAGTTTAAAAAATGGACAATCTTTTGAGAAAAAGGTTCATGCCATGGCAGGTGAACTTACCAAAAGCTGTTTACAGACGTATCAGATACATGAAACCCACCGCTGTTAAAAGCACCACCAGATTCTCCAACCCATACTGAAGCCCAGGGACCATTCTGTTGAATGGTTTGTGACAGGCTGCTGAATGTCTTTGACACCTTGCTCAAATAATATGGATTCAGTATATGCTCAATGAGGTGGTGATCAACACCTGGAAATAAAGATGATAATAAACTCCTAAGACCAAAACACAGGGAAACTTCACTTCTTTATATTTTCAAAATCAGCCACAACAGCTCTTTGATTCTTGTGTTGACCCACCTGCTCCCAAGTTGTACATATGATGAGATACTGTGTTAAGTGTTCCAGGGCCCGTAATCTTAAGAAGCTTAGCAAACCAACCCTGCTCGAAGAAACCTCCAGGTGCCATAATTGAAGGTTTTTTGTTCGAGTTCTTGTATAACGCATCCACAATTTCATTAAGTTTGCCCACATCTTTTGCATAGGTATCAGCACTAACACTTGCACCTATACCAGTTCCACTCAACTCGTTACCTGCAATCCAAATTCAATACCAACAGTAAGTTAAAAGATAATGCATTAAGAAAGGATAAAAGACAGTACATTTTGCAGAGGGTTTCATACCAAATTCCCATGCTTCTATCTTGTATCCCTTTGAGATGGTATAACTGATGAAATCATGAGCATTAGTAGAATTCCAAGGTCCTCCCCAAACCTTATTCTTGATCTTGTGCCTTCCATGAAGAGCATTTAAGCCGAATGAGATTATGGCTCTGCCACAAAGTGAAGATGATTATGGTGTGTCATTATCCAACCAAGAATTATCAACTTCATGAAACTCTATCATGCTATCAATTCATGCGAAAGATAAAAAGAAGTCCATTCAAGCAAACAACACTCACCCTGTCTTGCTGAACAAGTTGTTTAGTGCATCCCATCGGTCCATGTTTAGGCATCCCTTTGAAAACCCAAACAGCCCACCTTTCATTTTGAAAAAAGAATGACAAGGAGAACCCAGATTCCCAACATCATATAGAACTTGGTCTTGCAAAGACCCTCCTATTCTTATCCTCAATGGCCTGAAAGCTACAGAGCAGCGTATAGATTGCCAAATGAGTTTTCTAGCCAAGAAGTGCAGCCAGTGTTGCTTTTAAGCACATAAATTACTTATCAATAAGAAAATTATGCAAACCTTCGATAGCTTTGACAAGAAGAGAATGAGTGACATCCTGTAATGAGAAAAAAAAAATATAGAGCAGTCATTTTTACTACGATTTTTCACATCATCTAAGCTGGAAGCGGATGAATTGCAGAGCCCTACCAAATTTACAACAGAAGTATATTCCCATGGGCAATGATTGTAATCACACTTATCGTGAGGCCACCAATCTATTGTAGCACAAACGTAGTTTTCATCAGTCTCGGCAACTGTGATAGTTCCATCAACCACTACTGTGGCAGGCATAATCTCTGGGGCAGCATTCACATGGAGGAGAAAGGCCAAAGAAAGGATAAGCGAGAAAACTCGAAATCCCATCTGAAGAAGTTGCAGCAGCCTGGATACCAGCTCAACTTACTCAAAAGAACTGCATTTGAAAGATACACAGGGATGATTGACTTGAGTAACAGTCGCTGTTAATATAGTTGGCTCATAATATATAAATATGCCTCAGAATAGCCTGTGGCTGTAATGCCTATGTCTAACTCGGACGTAACTGAACAAGCCTACAAAATTCATAGATGAGTGTCCTGAGTACCAGTTGGGCAGTATAGCTGGCTCAGAATGAATCAGAACGAACCTACAAATTCTATCATAAGCAGAGATAAATTTGCTTCTCGAAGTCTAGCAAGTATGAATATAGACTATATGATTGTTCATTGAATGGTAACAGAACAATATTTTCCGGTGCCAAGATGGATTCTCTAGCTACCAATGTATTTTGATGTGTCAACTGGACAGGCAAGGGAAGAACAAGAACATGATTTCTTCACTGCAGTAAGAGAGAATTCCCTACAAGATATAAGGAGACCTGACTTGGTTCATGAATAGTTTTGTGTTTTGATTTGAGCTTTCAGTACTGAAGAACATGACGAACATAAGGTTATGAACTTCTACATAGCCGTAGGCCCATATCTGTTAAAGAGCTTCCTTCAATCTGTCAAGGACACCATAAAAGTAGAAGCAAAAAGGAGCAATAGATCTCCTGACCCGATTATGTAGCTTTCAAATCCAGTAAAAACTAAAAACTTTTATATTAAATTTTACAACCCCCAATAACTAATTTCCTGATAAAGCAACTTTTAACTGGAACTCAGAACAATAGCCAACTGCTCAAACAAAAAACAAAAACAAAAACTACCCAGGCAACAGATTAAATGAAGCAACATATCCAGCTGAAGCACACATTCAAAAGAATTAAGAACAGCCCAGATGGAAACTCACTTATCCAAGAAGCAATGGATCACCACCATCACAGAACAACAGTGAATCTCATTCTTCCAATACCAACTTCGGTTCAATAAATGGGGTTCGCCAAAGGGCAAATAAGGCAGTGACTATGAAAAGTCGAAAAGGGTCTGCACTTACTAGTTTAAACTAGCCCGCTTTTTGGCAATGGACCTCTTAACAGAAGTCCCCACATCAGAAATCCGAAAGCAACCCACACCAAGAGAACTCGCGAGGAGAGAAGGGTCGTGCTCGCCGGTTTGGTTGGAAATGCGAGGTGGGTAGGTGGGGTGGGGCTGCGTCTGCAGGAAAAATGACTGTGAGGCGAATTTGGAAGGCAGCGCCATGAGGAAGTTTATTAATATGTTGGGATGGGAAGAAGGAACGATTTGATTAGGTGGGTCAGCACAATTGGTATTGGAAGCTTCTGCAAACCGTGTCGATGGAGGCAAAATTTTGAGATGTGGAAAAAGGAGGGAATATTTGAGATGAGGTGGTGGGAGAAGGGAGATCTGGCTGGCAAAGCTTGCTGGTTTTTCGATCGGAAATTGATCCACACAAGCCTGCTTAGCTTTAACTGGTAAGGTAAAACATTCTTCCTCCGCCCAGCCCACGTCATTCTCCATACCTGAGCTGAAGAAAGGAGGGTTATTCACTTATTCTTTCTTCCATTGACAAATAATAAAATAAATAATAACACCGATTGTGTTTTCTGGAGGATGCTTCCTTTTGTCTATAATTGTCGTTGCGGTGTATTGTTTGCATCTCAACAAATCGAAAACTTATAAGATGAGGTCTCCCCGTCAGCTAGCTTGCTGTCCCATTGGCATTTTCCGAAGTGAATAATTTATTAACGGGTAAATTTCACGGTTTGATCACTGGATTTACCAAAGAGTGTCATGTTTAGTCACTAAAAATATTTAATTCAAATGTTGGTTACTCGAATTAGTAAAACGATCCACGTTTGGTCATTCTCTGTTAGTCTCTGTCAAACTCTGTTAACGGAGTCCGTTATGTGCTGACGTGGCAAACAAAATCACCTAATGAGAGTAATTTAACCTGAAAATGATGAGACACGACCAGGCACGTCACTCCAACTCAACCCCCTCTTCCCTTCTCCAATGTCTAACCCTTTTCTTCCCTGACCTTTCCCCTTTCTTGCTTCTAACCCTTTTTTCCTGATCCTGCCTATTAACAGAGTTAATTTGTCCATGTGTCACACAAACCACTGTTCATGCTCCACATCAACCAAAATCACGTTCAATATTTGATGCTCTAGATATTATTAGATCATGTAATAAATGTATTTGTCTGTATACATCTTTTATACGCTTATAAATACTCTGTACATTATCAATACAAAGAAGAAGCTTGAGTTGGCTTTCTTACACAAGAATCAGCGATCCCTCCAATTATCTATTATGGTATCAAAGTTTGGATTTGATTCTTGTGAAGGGAAGCCCAGGAAGAAGAAAAGAAAGAAAGAAAAAAGATTCCGCTGTTGAGTTTCTAAACCATTCTTGAGTTATAACCTTTTGCATTCCTCTAAAATCCTTCATCCATCTGTCAACCTTCATCCATCTGTTATTTGAGTCGTAGCCTTCTTTGGTCCTTTGTTATCTCTGCACCCGTTTCCTAGTTTCAAGCTTCCAGAAAAAAGAAGAAAAGAAAAATAAATCCTTGTTTCCAGTCAAGTTCACTCACCGAGTCTCCACTTTTCGTATATGTGTGTTGAAATTCCCTCTTCCTCAGTTTAGAAACTCAAAATCCATCTCATGTCCTCTGTTTTGACGTCAGCAAGCCCCTCCAAAACAAACTTTGTTTCTCCACTTCTGGGTCTCGTACGCTCTGTTGCCTCTGTTGATCTGCTTTGTCCCCACCGTCGATCCCGTCACCTACTGTATATATATCCCATCTATTCTTCATATCTGCCCACCATAGCCAAGTCTCCTGCTCTTATAGCTCTGTATCGCCATCCGTTACTGCTGTCTGTTGCCTACCGCCATCTCTTAGTCTCCTTGCTACCCGTCTTCGTCGGGTCTCTCTCTATTGTCGGGCAAGCCCTTGATCTGCTTCTCTCGTCGACCTTGTGGCAATATGCTTTGTTGTTTTCCTGGCTTCCAACATAACACCAACAATCTATTTATTTGTCCAACCGCAACTGCTCTAGCTGTTGCTACTGCCCCGTCGCAAGCTCCTCGAGATGTTATCCCGGGGTATGGCGGAGAAAGGAATGAATTAAAAAAATCAGAAAAGGGTAGATCTTTTTGCTATCTCGAGGATACCTGCACAAGAAAAAGCAGAGGAAGCAAAAGTTATCTTCAACATCTAAATCTTAATCTTCTTTGCCTTTATTAGCCACAAGCCCACAACAACCCAATTCCCATTATTTTCTCTCTAGTCCCACCACTAGCTTTTGTGTTTCTTCCCACACCACACGTCCATACCACCTCCGTCTATCCTTTGGCTTTGTAACTTTGTTTATTCCATCACCACATACTCTGTTTTCGAGATTTTTTCTAGGAATAGCACCATTTAAAAAATATCTACAAAAATAATATTCAACCCACACAAATTCCAAAAATAGCACCATTTATAGAAAAACGCAGGCGGAAGAAGCGGTTATGTAGAAAACGCAGGCGGAAGAAGCGGTTTACAGAGAAACCGCGTGGGGAAGGCATGGTCTCCGCTAGGACAGCCTGGGAACCGCCTAGGGAAGCTGTGATTTCATTAACCGTTGGATAAGGGAGCGATCCAATGGCCGAAGGGCCGGTTTCTCACCTCAGTTAACGCAAACCGTTCTCTAGGGAAGCAATTTATGTGGTATGAAAATTACAAAACCGCCCCTACAAGGGGCGGTCTGAGTCTTATATAAACCCCCTCCCCATATCCATTTTTTCACACCATAACCCATTCCTCTCTCTCTCTCTCTCTAAAATTATCTTTCTATCCATTCCCTCTCCCCCCCCCCCCAAACCTAGGAAATCGTGGTCTGTTGGTTGCGACTAAGTCTGATCTGCCATCAGAAAACATTTATTTGGTTTTTCCTCAAAACCTGTCGAAACTCTGTCCGACTTATTGAAAAAATGGATGATGGTTCCAATTACTCTTGAAGTGTCGTATGCACCACCTTTGGGACCACTTTCAGTCTGGATCCAACCCTAAGATGACAACTCTGATCCCGGCGTGGCGATCAGAGATGATTGTCAAGTTGGTCCTCATAGTGACGTGGAGGTGTATTTGTCTGAAGAACCATGCATAGCTTTCGGTATTCTCTCCCTCAACAATGGCGAAGGCTAAAGGAAAGACTTGTCTGTTTGCATCCGCTCCACTGGCAATCAGGAGACAATCCTTGTACTTCCCGGTAAGGAATGTTCCATCCACTTGCATCCTAGGGACACAGAAGCCAAAACCATCAATAGATGGCTTGAATGACCCAAAAAGACGTTTGAAATGACGTTTGTTACCGGGCTTGGCGGCTGGATCTCGTCGTCTTGATAACCGGGGGGAAACCGTGTCAGGGTTAGACGCCTCCAATGCCAAAATCAATCTGGAAAGGAATGCATATGATTCTTCCTAGTCATCAAAGGCGGCTACCATGGCTTTCTACTTTCCATGCCACGCCTTCTTATAGGTAATAATATATCCATAACGACTAGAAATGTCAGCGATGATGGCTTTCACCTTCAGATCAGGTTGTTGCTTAATTAGATGCTTGATAGATGCGACAAACACCCTAGATTTCAACTGTTGATGGCCTTGGGATGTTATGGATGACACACATGTGTGAGTGTTCACCGCACGGGATATGATCCAATGGCCGATTCTCTTGCTGTTGATGGCCCGGATCCTAGCCTTGCATCACTTGTGTTGATTTCAGCATCTAACTATGGGCCTCTTCGCATTGGAATGAGTTGTGAACCATTCAAAACTCTGTCATTGCTTCAGTCTTAATAGCATGCCGCACCTCCTTTGTACCAAATTGTTGGCAATTCATAAACCCAGTGAGTGGACCCCATATTGGCACCTCTGGTGGCTCCATGTCGGCGTCGACATACTAATTCTCATTTAGACTATGATTGTAGTACGAA